TGTAAATAATGTGTGTGTGTAATAAGTTATTCAAACGCATAATAGTATGTCAGACTGCAGTCGCTTCTTTTGGGCTTGTTTCCATAGCCCTGGTTGCTTGTTTCTCTCCCAAGATCTGGCAACACTGAGCCGGCCGGCAAGCAACAACAACAATGGCTGCGTCCACAGGATCACGGGGATAATAAAGAATATCCATGCCTTTACTATGTGTTGTCTCCAAGTTTGGTGACGTCACTGCATTACCTGGGGCTCTGTCGGCGAGGGCTAGGTGGAGAAATCTTGTGGTGTGCACACACAGGTCGTAACGCAGTTGGCGAGACTAACGCTGACAGAAACACATCACCAGGTATGAACACTCAAAAGATTACGATAGTCTCTGCGACGCAAAATCAGGGTGAAAATCGTGTAATGTGAACTAGGCTTTAGTCATGGCAGGCGTTTTGGTCACGACCCAAGGAATCACAGTGTTGAGTGTGGAACTGTTTGAATAAGTGGTTGTTTAGAAAGCTGCCAAGAAGTCGGCCCATTTTGAAGGAGCACTGCACTTGTAAAAGTAAAATACAGAAAATATATAGGTATTTTCTTGAGTAGAAATAACATTTTTATTACATTTCCATAAAGGACGATCAATAATTTGTTAAAGTTAAATGATTGACTTTAACAAATTATAATTGGGTCTGTGTGGGTAATATGTGAGTCTCTGTGAATTTAAACTTGATTTTTTTGTGTGTGTGTGTGTTTATCGTTAAGATAGCTCTGTAGCACTTTTTTTATTATGTGATTAATGTGGACCTCCTTCCAATTTCGTCTGTGCCTTTGTCTGTGTGTCTTTCTTACTTTTCTCCTGGAGGATTGCAAAGAAAAGGGTTCACTTGTCAGAGGTGGAGAATGCTGCCAGTGAAGAGAAGGAGAATAAGGGAGCCAAGAGGAAGAAAGGTTCTTTCTGAATTTTTAATTTGCCCAGTGTATCATGTCTAAGAATATGGGTGCAAATATTCTGAACTCTAATACCAGCAAGTGACTTTTTTTCTTTGGCTTTTATTTGCTGTCTTTCAGTGGGCAGCAATGACTTTTCAGACTCAGACTTCGAGATGTCAGAGTCCAGGGCAGAGTCGGGGATAAGCGAGGAGCCTAGTGAACCAGAGGCTGAGGAGAAGTGTCGGCAGACCAGGTGAGAAATACGTTTGGGTGATACGACGAGATTATCGTTCAACATGATATTCCCCCAATTCCAAATGGATCCCTTACCGACTCGTTGACTCAAGCCCTAAGCCCTTACAGACCTAGGACCAATTCCATTTCTTCCCCTTAGCCCTTGTCTTGACCCTTCCCCCTGGTTTTGCACGTTCACATGAGGGGAAGTGGTGTCCCAATTCTCCGTCAGGTTAGCTCTTAACCTGATGGAGAATTGGGACACCGTATGACACAAGACAATACAAATAAGAAAAAATTAGACAAGTAGCTTTCTTGATACTGTTTACTGACAGTTTTCCCCCTTTCTTTCAGTGGTAAGTTGCCTTCGCTGGTGCTTCGCTGTGTTGTAATTTGCTCTGTACAATAAAGCGATCCATTGTCCCACTCACAGCTTTCTCCTTTTAAATATCATCCCTCGCACTGGCTGCCAATCAGAATTTTGATGTGTCACACACTCATAACCCCATGCACGAACTGTGACAAATAGGTTCCCTGTGAAGTTTTTTTTTTTTTAATTAAATTAAATTAACTTATATTTTTTAAGCTAGAGTTTGCATCTTAACTAGGAAATGGGTGTGCACAAAATACCGATACAGTCATTTAAAATTCATTCATAACTCTTTGTGTAGGCGCAGTTGAATGTTGCAATAACAATGTGTGGCTATCACAAAATCCCACTGCACACCTGAATTGGCACCGTGGCACACCATTTGAGAAGCACTGCAATAGAAACTATACAATAAGAGCAGCAGAAGTAGTGGAAGGTTAGTGTGTAGCATTAGTGAAATTGTGTTCCTTGGTAAGCTGTGTTTCAGCAGGCAAAAGACAAATGGACAAACATAGGCATAAATGACAAACGAACATTGTTTGTATCTGAAGACATTTTTTGTAAACAATCATTTACTGGTCTCAAGAATTTTCATGTGCACATTCTGCATTCTGGTGCATGTATGCAAATGATGAACTATAGTGGATATGTATACAAACTATAGTATGTACAATCATATATTTATCGTACCTGACACATCTGAAGTGGTATTCAAAAAATTTGTCCAGAGTTGGCAGGCCTGCTTATGCGTAACATATGTGTCTCCAGCCCACTAATATGAATTTCAATGTGCTCATCTTTTTCTTTTGGATGATAATTTCATATATAGTGTTTCTCACAGCAATATCTGCAATAGGGTAACTTAAATATTGCCCAACTCTGTTGAGAAGAGAGAACTTCAGCCAATTCATAGGAATTTACTACTGAGACTGGATCTGGGTTGATTTCTTGCTGCTCTTGTTTAGAGGGATTCTGTTTTGTGTCCGTAGATCATCGAAGAAGAAGGACAATGAGAGCAAGAAAAGTTACAGTCTGAGGAAGAAGCAACAAACGATCAAAGTTCAGGATTCCTCATCCAGCAATGAGAAGGTATTTTAAAATGCAGAGCACTTGGTAGTCGTCTTGAACTGTCTCAAGGTGTCTTATTTTCTGTGGCAGGATTTGCCAGGTGGAGGAGATGGACCTACATAACGTTTACTAGTCAAGTCATGCATGACACATAAAATGTTATTTGAACTTACCCCTGGAGTGTGTTGTGAGGATTATTGAGGGCACAAATTAATCATATGGTTGCTTGGCGACTGATCATAGGAAGTGAATTTTTTTTCTAAGGGTTGAAGATCAGAGGGCTGAACTTAATGTTCATTTCCACAGAGCGGAGAGGAATCTGATGACGACGCAAATGAAGAAGGACGCAAAAAGACTTGCAAAACCCTGAAGGACGACAAGCTGCGCACAGAGACTGGAGATGTTCTGACGGAAGAAGATGAGAAATGTGTAGCTGAGACAGAGGCACTCAGGGAGAAACTTGAAGAGGTAAAAATGAAATGCGGCATCATGAAATGCTACGTTAGTCTGAAGATGTTGAAAATAGAATTGTGGACATGATTGGAACTACTTTTAAATCTCCTGAAATGTGTTGATGTATTAGATACACTAAGTATTTTGTGATGAATATCACAATAGTTGAGTTGAACCTTTTACATTACTGATTTCCCACTATGTGTGAAACTGATTTTAAACAGCCTTTGCTGGTTCAAATACACTATAATGGAATTGTGGAGGGAACAAAAATAGAAGGGTATGCAGTATTATTTTCGCAACTTTTTGCTTTAGGTCGGAAGCATAGGGGCATGCATGCGAGCCAGCTCTTATGCTAACTGCCATTTTCTAATCTGAGCAGGTCATCTTTTTATTTGTTTACATAAGTCAGAACCCTTTCTGTTATATTGAAATAAACCATACATATTGTATGCAGGTTGAGGGTTTTGTGGAGATAATGCAATTTTTAATGTGGTGATAGCAAACTGATTTTGTATCATAATGTATGTGAAATTTACATCCATCAAACCCATGGATATTTTTTTAATAAATTATATTACACATTTATTCTGTCATTCTTGTTGCTCTTTCTCTGTTTAATTTTGAAAGCGGCAATAATCCTATTTGTTTACTGGTGCTTTAAAAAAGATTATCATGGCAAATTACAGCAATTGATGTGTTATTTTTATTGCATTTCCTGCTGTTGGAGAATCTGTACGCCCAATAAATAATTGGTCATGTTTCAATGTCTTGTGCTTCAGTGTGGAGCTTGACGGGCCCAAAAAAGGCCCAACCCAACATGAACCAGTTTTGGGTCTGATTAAATACTGGAATTTCTACTCTCAGCTAAGAGCTGGCATGTTTTCTTGGCACCACTTCTTCTCCTCCTCTTCCTTTAGTCCTACAATTCCTTTAACAATCTTGTCTGCTCTGCTTCTCACGCACAACAGGTTCAGCAGAACGGGCTGGGCACCTTTTGTGTGTTTCCCTCTTTGAGTGCGCACGGCAGTCCATGGCGATGCAGCATGCAGATAATCAGTGCTCACTGCTTTCATGTTCTGCACATCTCTTTCACTGCTGGGGAAGCAGAAGCAAACATTGCCTACCCATTCGCCTTGCAGCCCCCCCTCTCCTCTCTCATGTTTCGTCCTTTTCTTGCGCAGGCCCCATCTCTCTCCCCGGTTTTCCACTGTAGTGCTCCATTGTGAAACAGCTTTACTGGTTGACTGGACAGTTTTACTTGAATGACAAGGATGGATCACTGATACCTTAAACAGTATAAGCAGTCATGCCTTGAATGATATGATACTGGAGGAGGAAAGCTCCAGTCATCCTGGATCACAACTTGGAAATGCATCACCACTACCTCCTCCCTGTAAACACTCTCCACGTCATTATCACTCCAGAATTATTCTTTCTTTTCCATCTCACACCCGACATGCGGGATATATATGATGACAATATTCATCTTTACTCCTTCAACTTCCAGCTTCATACTTGTCACTCTTTCCTACTCCCTCTTTACTTCCAACACACTGTTGACATAATTTTCTTTCAGGATTGCCCCTAAGCCATTTCTCCTCACATCCACACTATGGTAGATAAGTTTGAACCCACCTCCGATGCTCCTGGCCTTACTCCCCTTTCCGCTGGTCTCTACCTTACTTCTCTCCATATCAGTCAGCTCTCCCACTTTACTAGTCATGGTGCCAACATTTAAAGTTCTGACTCTCACCTCCACCTTCCTACTCTTCCTCCTCTCCCTATGCCTCAAAACATGCCGTCCCCCTCTCCTTCTCCTTCACCCAAAAGTAGGCTAGTTTCCACCGGCACCCCATTGACCAACAGTACCAGTGATGGTCGTTGGTAACCCGGCCCTTAACTGATTCTGCATGGAAATCTGATTTATGATCAGTATATCTAATTTAGCATAGGTTTTGTGCTGGATGTCCCACCTGACTCAACCCTCCCTATTTATCCGGGATGAAGGCTAAATGGGAGAAAGAACTCACTAAAGAGAACCCAGTATGATATACGGAAAATACACCAGACCACAATACAACCACAGAGAGGGAGATGAATCATTTGGAAGAATCAGATTTGTTAGTTTAAATGAATATTCAACAGCTATACTGGAGGCTGTGTGAACACTTGGAACCAAACCACACAGCTTTTGGAGCTGAATGAAAATACAACCTCTTTGGGATGGTATACATTCTGTCCTAGGTGATGTATTGGTTACAAAATCCCCCGATCTTGTCTTATACCTGGGTCATGTGGAAGAAACTGTACATGTAGGAGACCAACACTTGGTAAAGATTATCCTCGCTGCCTGACTGAGGGCTATCATAAAGAACTGTCTGAAGACTTATGCATCAGATTAGAAACAATGGCTGACCATTACAGATATCGTGATGGAGAATCCGACATAAAGGTTAAGGATGAAGGGTGAGGATTTTGCAAAAGGCTGGGCAAACGGTTAGTAAAGAAATAAAGGCATAAACTAAATATAATGTAGACTTGTTTCTCCCTGTAGGCTTTGTTCATGATTATATATACACGTTCCTTGTCATTTCTTTACTGTTTTTAATCCTCTGTAATTATACTGTTAAAAAGAAAACAAAAGATAAAGATTAATAAAAAAGCAGCTCATCTTCACAGTGCAGTGATACTGTGTAGATCACGGCCATCATCATGACTAAGAAGGTAAAACACCGGCTCATCTGTCACTTATAAGTTTAGTTGAGTTCTTATCCTTGCACGCTCTTAACACATTCACATCCTCATATTTCACACCGACAACCTTTGAAGAAGAGCCCCATCTTCAGGTGATATTTGTAACTTTTCACAGTGTTCAGATCAGTGCGGTTTATTCAAAGAGGTACCGGAGTCACAGGACAGGCAGAGATGCCCCAAATAATCATCCTTTACTTTTGTGCAAATTAGAAAGTTGTAATGTGAAACTTCAGGATATGATTTTTCATACAACTAGCTTATCGTGGCTTGTGACTTTTATGAAAAGGCAGTGTTTGGTTGGGACGCCTTGTCATGTTTTAGATATTATTAGCCATTCCACTATAAGAGACATTTCCACTTCAAACATCTCAAATGGTTTCAATAAAATCACTGTTGTAGGCACAAAGAGTTAAAATGATAACAACATATATTATTCAATCACCATATAAGGAAACAAAAACATAGTTTAAAACAACTAATAACAGCCCACCTCCCACCACCCATACTTTCTTTTACTTGAACTTTTATTGATTTTCTTAACAAACAGAGCAACAAGATAGCATATTTGACTCACATCTACAAAGGTTCCACCTCCCATACTGAAGTTAAAGAAGCTCAGTGATTGACCACAGTCCTGATGGCTTTCTGAACTGTCTGTCCTTTTGGTGTTCCAAAGTACAGCTGCATTTGCATTTAAAGCTTACCGTATAAAATCAGAGAATTTAAAATAAAGACGTGTCCTCCTTTGTCTTTAAATTAATCTTAGTTACACATAACATGCTCAACATTGATCCAGACAAATTTTAGATAAATGCATCTATAAAATAAATGTTTATTTCTGTGTCACTATTACAAAACATAGGATTCAGAAAGATTATTTCTCTATTTTTTTTGTAAAAAGTGGATGTATAAATTTAAAATACACTTCACTACCCTTACTGTTGACAGTGTTTGTTATAGTAAATCCAGATTAATTTCCAGTTAATGCTCTCAAAATTAATATTCCAGTAGTGTTTACAGCATGAAATTACAGGATGTATCAATGTCTAAAAATACTAGATTTGTTATCCTTTATGTCGATGCCATGTTCTTACCCTATTAATCATCTCAGGACGGGCCAAATGTGTTAGTGCCCCTGTGGAGGGAGCCCAATCACTATGTTGGGAATCACTGGCCCACACTACTCTGTGAAAAGAGGTTAGAAGGAGCTCAATCAACAGTGAGTAGCTGCTTACCATTCACTATTAAAATACCTGTATTCAAGATGATACGTAAGTGAAAGTACAGAGAATTAAAATATAAGTAAAAGTACTGTTTATGCTGAATGATGCGTGTCAGAATAAGGTAGACCATATTATATTATTAGGTTATAGTTACTGGTGCACTAACATGAACATAAAACTTTTTAACTGTTTACATTGGCAGGTAGTAGTAAACTCTTATTTTTATCAATAATAATACAACATAATGGATATGTTAATCATATTTTGTGTTAGGGACATCTTTCTACATAATGAGGACTTTAATTTTTACTATTTGTTATTAGTATGCCTATTTTACTTAAAGCCTTGTGCTTATTATTATTATTATTTATTTTTTAATTTACATTTTAAGTCAGTACTACAATTATTTGAATACGTCCTCCTTGGTTTATTACTTGTATTTTTATTATTTTTTAATCCATCTTGTAATATTGCGACATGTATTGAGAAATTGAACTGAAGCTACCTAACTGTAGGCTAAGAAGCATAGAAAATATGTATTGTGATTGTGATAGTGTTTCAGAGGTTGGATCACAGAAACAAAACAGCGCGCCTCTCACGGTATCAACAAATGAATGAATTGGAAATATATCCAGCAGCATTTCACTTCCCCGAGAAAGTCATTCCCTCCCCGGCTAAACGAATCAATAAGCATCGGTGAGCCTGGGCCACTCAGAGCGGGAGAAGGTCTGAGGCGGGCAGCCAATAGGAAAGCGCACAGGATTTAGGCTAGATGCGCCATTTTGCTGCGTCCACAGCCATCCGGCAAGATGGTCCCCTTGCTTTGTCTCCCCTGACCGGAGTTGTTTCTGTATTCTGTGGCTATTCTTGCTTCCGCACCATCGAAAACCTGCAAATTGGATTGAACTGGGTCACCTGTACCTACAACTAAACGGCTGTCTGTCTGTCAAGGAATGACGACAGTTAAAAGCAGGTAGGAACACTGTTTAGCTTGTTTGTTTAGACTAGTCAATTGTGCATTGATTACTGTGCTACCTTCGCTAGCGGCGAGCCGCGCCATACTGTAAGTGCCTATTGCTAGCTAGCAAGCTAGGCTAGCTGAGTTGTAGCACAGCCGGCAATGTTTAAATTCGCACACACGGAGATTCAGGCGCGCTTATGCGCACTACATAATGTTTCTTAAAGTGATTAAAATGTAAAAACGCACCCTTTTGTAAAAACGCGTCAGTTGGTTTGTATTTTATCCAGCTAAGCGTTACATTACTACTTCGGATGTTGCTAGGCAGTACCAGGCTGCAGTTAGCGCTCTGGTTTGTGCCATGGCATCGTCAGGAGGGAAGGCCTGCGCGTGCATTTTTCGGTGCATGCCCATGCATTGGATCTCTATGCACCGCCGAGATTGCAATGTTGCCAGGGCAACGTGGGGCAGCGAAAAGAAGTAGTTGAGTATTAACGGCGACCGCTAAACCTGCTACCGTTAGCCAGCCTAAACTTGGCATCCCTGATAGTCCAGAGTTCTGTGTTGTCAAAACATCGGAAAGCAGCGGCAGGGATAAAGAAGCAGCACTGAGCTACAAACGGAGGAGCGCGAGTGGGCTGTTTTTCCTCGACTGACACCGGATTTTGGATAAATTTTAGGCCTGGTTGCTGCTAGAAGTACTGAATGATAGCTCAACACAGCTCACAGCGATCTAATCAGCACATTATGATGACGCAAAACGGCACAATAAACAGCGGTGCCTCTTCTGATGAGTGACATGCTCCAAATGCATGCACGGATAAATGTAGGTAACGCACATTTTTAATTATGTGAATGTATATTTACACAAATGTTACAATCGTACGATCGTTTATTTTAGTTGTATATGAACCGTAACAGTTTGTGAAGTTGAATGTTTTTTTTTTTTTTTTTCAGTAGACTAACAACAACCCAAACATCGCCTGCAACCTTTGACTTTGCAACTGTCTGGAAAAGCACACGCCCACTGGGAATCACGCCCTGAGGGCTACTTTTCTGTGTAACTTATCGTTTAATAACACAAAATTTGACATAGCTGTGTTTTGTTATGCAATTGCATTGTTTAAGTAAAACACACAAATTTTAGAAATGTGAGTGAAAAGTTAAAATTTGTGGACTTTTGGTAATAATTTAAGCAACAGCTGTTTATTTGCTGTTTTATTTTCCTGGCCCATTATATTTCAATGGTTGCTTTTATTATTGCTTTTACTTCAGTGGAAGATTTGAGCCATAAGTCTTGTGCCAGGCAGCCCACCTCGAGACTAATAAAATACACAAGCAGTGAAAATGTAAACACAAACTAAGAAAATACAGACAGTGAAATTGTAACAAGTACTTATTGGTATCTGGATAGTAAAAACACAGCATGCTTGTTTTTGGTTTTCTATGTTAGCTGTAAAAATAAAAAGGCATATCAGTATGTATTTACAAACTCAAATCTCTGTGATTTATGTACAACATTGTACAACATCTTTATTTACCACTATGTTCATCGGTAAACAAATCTCTCTCCAGGTAAAATGAGTCTGGCTTCTTCTGAATCACACCTTGACCAAATGTCAGAAAAAACAGAGGAGGTAAGTACGCAGCTTTGTAGGGAGCCAAATGACATGTTTAGACTGTTATGTTTATGATACTGAAAACATAAACTAATGATTAAAGGCACAAATTTACTGTTTTTGCTTTTAGTTCTAAGTGTATTAAATCAGTCTTATATCCCTGTCAGCCTGGTAGCTCAACAGAAACTATGAAGCCCTCCTCTTCTCGCAACAAGAGGTGAGAAGCAGTCTTCTTATATGTGACTATTTTGTTTGCAGTTGCATGCTCTCAAAAGAGTTCCTAAAGACACAGCTTGAAATATCAAACCTATGTGCCATTTCATTTTAGGAAGTCCGCCACTGTAGCTAAGCACACTGGACTGAATGAATCTGACACCTCAGGTGAGAGTGAAAATGAAGGTGCCACCTCTGACAACCCTTCAGACAATAACACAAGCAGCGCATCTAAAGGTATGGAGGTACTTGTTGGTCTTGATCAAGAGGTTGTTGATACTGAATAGGATGCTGATTTGAGACTTATTTGTTTTTGCCTCTGACCAGGTACTTTAGTGATGAGGCCAGCTGGGAATGAAAATAAAGGCGCCATGAAGCTCAGAGTGGATTTTAAACAGAAACATACAGGTTACTTAAATTTCATTATTTGCAAACTTTATATTTTTGGTATGTTGATGTTCACAAGAGAACATGCCTAGAGTTTTAGTGTAATTAAAGTGAATAGCATGAAAGTAATACATCATTTATTGAGTGAGACAAAAGTCAAAGTGACAATTATTGATTATTTTCCTCTGTATCACAGATGACACCCTGCAGAAGAAAGTGAACTGCACTGCCTGTGGAAAACAAGTAAACCAGTTTCAGCGCAACTCTGTGTACGAGCATCCTGCGCTCAAAGTACTTATTTGCAAGGTAGGAAATTGCAAACCTACATTTCACATATTGTCAGAGCCATTATAGGAAGTCCACACTCATATTTTTCAGTCTTTCCATTCTGTATGTATGATCACATGATTTCCTTTTTTTTTTTTTTTTAAAGTCATGCTACAAGTATTACACAAGTGATGACATCAACAGAGACTCTGATGGCATGGATGAGCAGTGCAGGTAAAGCATTTTACACAAGACCAGCAAAAAATTGTGATTTATTTGTTAAGCCAAAGTCATGAGAAGATGCACAATAAAAGTACGGTGGAAACTACTGACAGTGATCACGTCTGTCCAGGTCTAATCGATTACTGTAATTATTATAACCAACTTCTCCTTATTTCTCATGCAGGTTAGCATCTAATTGACGTTTCTATATTTATTACATGAATATAGAACAATGAAACTGACAGCTACGCTATTTGCTGAAATTTATTGATTGTTTCAAAATACAGTGCAGCTGCTTTATCAATTCACTTGATGAGGGCGGCTTCACACGCAGGTGCTTTCCCTGTGTGCAGCCATAACTGTTTGTTGTTGTTTGAGTAGACAACAAAAGATTGCCTGAGGAACAGTTTTGTTGCATTTGTTTCCATATGTCATCATGTATGATAAAATAACACTTGACAGTAGAGATGTACCGATACCACTTTTTCTTTCCCGATACCGATTCCGATCCCTGAACCTTAGGTATCTGCCGATACCGAGTACCGCTCCGATACCAGCGCGTAAAATAAAAATGGATGGGATATGAATTGTTGTATGTCTCAACTCCTAAAACTACTGTAAAATATTGAGAAATGAATACATAATAATAGAATGAATGCCATAAAACTTTTTTATTATTATTATCCAGTGTTGATACAGATCAAGACACAGGTTAAAGTGCAGCCACACAATTTGGTAAAAAAGACATTTTAAATGCTACAGTAGAATGTTTTTTAAACTCCACTCCGTTTCAATTTCGTTTGCCTGTAGCGTATGTATGCGTAATGACGTGAGGCATTACGTGGTATCGGATTGGTCTTAGGCTGTACTCGCCGATACCCGATATCGCATTTTAGGCAGTATCGGAGGCATTTCCGATACTGGTATCGGTATCGGTACAACTCTACTTGACAGGGGGCAACTTGATTATTAAAAGTTAATTATTATTATTATATTTGCGAAGGAAAGATTCTGACACGAGCTCATTGATTCATATAAGCTGCTGATCACTATAACCATGATCACTAAGCGGTTTCCACTGTAATAAGACATGGAGTCTAATAATGTAGGTTTGGCTGAGGATACACATGACATTGCATTGAGTCCATGATGATTTTTGTGTAACATGAAATTCACACGAAAGCTTGTTTTTGCTGTTTTGTTCAAAGTGTATGACACAGGTGTCTTATGATTTGAATGCTCCTTGAGAGTAGCATTAAATATAATGTGTCCTCCCCAGGTGGTGCGCTGAAGGTGGCAAGCTCATCTGCTGTGACTACTGCAACAATGCCTTCTGTAAAAAGTGTATTCTGCGCAACCTGGGCAGGAAGGAGCTTTCAGTCATTACTGATGAGAACTCAAAGTGGCACTGCTATGTCTGCAGATCAGAGCCTCTCCAGGATCTGGTCTCCAAATGCCACCGCATCATGGAAAAACAAGAACTGCAATTCAAGCAACGAAAATTGGACATATGCTATGAACGTGAGAGCAAGATACACAAGATCAAAGCTGTCAAAGAGCACAAAGTAGTTGTGAATGGGAAAGAACATACTGAAGGCTCAGGGACCATGACATTCTCATACAGAAAACTGCAGGTACCAAAAGAACTTATAAAGAAAACAAAAAAGCTTGTTGAAACAACTACTGGTCTCAACAATACATTCATTCAGTTCATACAGCAGACAGCTGAGGAGCAGGGAGATAGGGCTGTCAGGTATCGGCATTTGAAAGCCTTCAAGGCCGTGCTTGCTGATCTGAAAAAAGCCCACAGTGCATTGGAGGAGGCTTTGGAGCCTGAATTCAGAAACATGGAGTTGCAGAATGGAAACGAAGTGCAACATATTATAAGAAAGAGCACTAATGTTGTCGCCCCTGTAGAAAACGACCATTTGGATAATGTTGTGGATGCAGTTGAGAAGGCTGAAGTGGCAGAGGAGGCTGATGCTGAAGAGGAGCATTTCACAGAAGAGGATGATGACATAGCAGTGGAGGCTGATGCAGCTGAGGAGGCTGACATAGCAGTGGAGGCTGATGCAGCCGAGGAGGCTGACATGGCATTGGAGGCTGATGCATCCGAGGAGGCTGATGTAGCCTTTGAGGCTGACGCAGCAGAGGAGGCTGACGTTGCAGAGGAGAACGACAAGGACCAGCATAATGAACAGGACAAGGACAATGATCAAGTGTCAGCTGAGACTAAAATGAGAGACAGCCAAACAGAAACTGATGTAACCAAAAAGACAATTAAAACTGAAGTATGTGATGATGAGCTAGTGTCAGCTGGGGAAATGTCCCTAGATCATGACATTATGTCTGTGCCTCCCTCTGTTCCCGAAGAGCTTTTTCAAATGGTGGAGAGTCTTGCCGATTCCACCATGCTCTCACAGACTGACACTGATTTGGTCACAGATGCTGATTTAAAGTCAAATGGAAACTCAACAGACTCTCAGCCCACCCAGCCCAAGGTGAAGAACCTCATTGTCAAACTGACTCCTGTGCCTGTTGTGACGACGCGTGGGTCAAGGTCCTCCAGGTCAAAAAACAAAGAAAAAGATGGAGATGTGCAAAAAAAGCATGAAGAAAAAAATGAGAAGGAAAAGGATGATGCTGCTGATGCTGTAGATGGGACAGACAGTCCTCCACCAGGCCGTCGCTCTAGTAGACTGAAGACCACTCCTCTGAGGAAGCAGGCTGACAATAAGGATGAGTCCTCTGAGTCAGAATCTGAGAAGGATGGTAAGTCTTCAAAGAAATCCAGTAACAACAAGAAAGAGGATAGGGAGGAGACCAAGGATTCAGAGAAAAAGATGATGGATTCTGACTCAGATGAAATTCCTAACATACTGTTGGAGAAAGCTGCAGCGGGCCACAGCACAGATGAGGAACAGGGAAGCACAAGTGCTAAAAAGTGTTTATTCAAACTAAACAATACATCTACTAAAGACAAAGCGTCCAAACGCAAGAGGAAGCCCGAAAGCTCTGATTCAGATTTTGAAAGCAAAAGTAAAAAGACGTCCAAGAAGAAAAAACAGAATGGCTCAGACTCCTCTGACTCTGACTCTGACCAGGAGAAGGAGAAAAAGAGTAAAGTGGCCACATCAAAGAGGAGGTCTAGTCGAGTGAAGAAACAAGATGAAGCAAAAGAGGAAGACAAAAACTCTCATGAGAGGAAAGGAGCCAAGACGAGAAGGTCTTATGAAAAGAAGCGCAGGGGAAGTAACTCCAAAGCAGCCTCCAACCTGCAGTCGTCCTCCAGTGAGGATGAGGAGGAGCAGGCTGAAGATGACTCGGGAGAGGACAGTGACGAACAAAAGATCAAACGTATTGTGGAGGATAACGTGGTGGGAAGTAGTGGACCTTTTCATCAATCCTCAGGTAATTTGACTTTGAAGAGAGGAGTGTTTAGTAAAGCTCAGCTCGGTGTCCATGAGTTGTAGGAAAACCTCAATATTTCAGGAACTGCACTTATTTGCTGTCTTGCTGAGTCAGATGAGCAAATTGGCACTGCTCTTAATATCTGTATCATAAATATGTAGCTGAGACCAGCATGCCTTTAGCTTAGCACAGTGGTTCTCAAACTGTGGGGCGTGCCCCCCTAGTGGGGTCATAGAGCTACTGCAGGTGGGGAGTTTGCTAATGCTATCAAGCTGACCTGTACTTCACTGAAACTGGGAGGGTTCAGCTTCTGAAGGAGGGCATGACAGAAGAATTTTGAGAACTACTGGCTTAGCATAAAGCTACGCGGGCTTTGTCAAAAATTCCCCCAATGGCACATTTAAAGCTCACTGTTTTACGAGGCAACTTTTGGCAAAAAAGCAAATAAGCTTTTTTTGCAAAATGTCAAATTTATCTTTTAATGACTCATGCTCTTCCATTCAAAGCTTGTGTGCTACTTTGTTATGTAGGAGATGAAGAGGATGATAAAGAGAAAGTCTCTCAGATTTGTGAAGATGATGACGATGATGATCCTGAAAACAGGTACTTATCAAAACAAGTTGTAAAGATAAAGACAAAAGAGTTGTGATTACCATCGTTTAAGGTCTACAATGAAAGCATCTTTTTTACTGTGTTGTTGCTGCTGTGCTAATTTTAGAGACAGTTTAAGGAGCTCTGTCAGGTAGAGCTGTTTGACCTTATACAGTTAGGTCTATAATTATTTGGACAATGATACAGTTGTCGTCATTTTGGCTCTGTACACCACCACAATGGGTTTTGTTTTGTTTTGAAATGGTTGTAATTCCTACATGGTTCATGAACCATGTAGGAATTACAACCATTTTTTCACACAGTCCCCCGACTTTAAGGGCTCATAAGTATTTGGACAAACTAATATAATCATCAGTTAAACAGTCAGTTTTAATACTTGGTTGCAAATCCTTTACAGTCAATGACTGCCTGAAGTGTTGGACACATAGGCATCATCAGATGCTGGGTTTCTTCCCTGGTGATGCTCTGCCAGCCCTTTACTGCAGCCGTCTGCACTTCCTGCTTGTGTTTTGGGTGTTTTGCCCTCAGTTTTGGCTTCAGCAAGAGAAATGCATGCTCATTTGGATTCAGGTCAGATGATATGACTTGGCCTTTGCATAACATTCCACTTCTTTGCCTTAAAAATGTCTTTGGTTGCTTTTGCATTATGCTTCAGGTCATTGTCCATCTGCACTGTGAAGCATCGTCCAATGAGTTTTGAAGCATTTGGTTGAATCTGAGCAGATAATGTAGCCCCAAACACTTCAGCTTTCATCCTGCTGCTCTTGTCAGCAGTCACATCATCAATAAATACAAGAGAACCAGTTCCACTGGCAGCCATACATGGCCATGACATAACAGTACCTCCACCATGCTTCACTGATGAGGTGGTGTGCTTTGGATCATGAGCAGTTCCTTCCCTTCTTCCTTGTCTTGTCTTCCTATCATTCTGGTAGTTGATCTTTGTTTTATCTGTCCATAGTATGCTGTTCCACAACTGTACAGGCTTTTTAGATGGTTTTTGACAAACTCTAATCTGGCCTTCCATTTTTAAGGCTAACCAATGGTTTGCATCTTGTGATAAACCCTCTGTATTTATTCTAGTGAAGTCTTGTCTTGCTTACAAGAGCAGCAGGATGAAAGCTGAAGTGTTTGGGGCACCATTATCTGCTCAGATTCAACCAAATGCTTCAAAACTCATTGGACGATGCTTCACAGTGCAGTTGGACATTGACCTGAAGCATACTGCAAAAGCAACCAAAGACATTTTTAAGGCAAAGAAGTGGAATGTTCTGCAATGGCCAAGTCATATCATCTGACCTGAATCCAATTGAGCATGCGTTTCTCTTGCTGAAGCCAAAACTGAGGGCAAAACACCCAAAACACAAGCAGGAAGTGCAGACGGCTGCAGTAAAGGGCTGGCAGAGCATCACCAGGGAAGAAACACAGCATCTGATGATGCCTATGTGTTCAACACTTCAGGCAGTCATTGACTGTAAAGGATTTGCAACCAAGTATTAAAACTGACTGACTTATGAGCCCTTAAAGTCGGGGGACTGTGTGAAGAAATGCTTGTCATTCCTACACGGTTCATACTACATTTTTGAAAAAAGCCTTAAATGAAAGCTGAGAGTCTACACTTTAAGCAGGTATTCATTGTTTCATTTAAAACCCATTGTGGTGGTGTACAGAGCCAAAATGACGACAACTGTATCATTGTCCAAATAATTATGGACCTGACTGTATATTTGCTGGACTCTGACAGCATATTGCCAACTTGACTCATCAGGCCCAGTGTGAAGGCTCACAGTCCCAGTGGCAGCATTTCTTTTTGATTTATCCCTGTAAATCTGTATTTTTACTAGGGCCGTAACGGTACATGTATTTGTGTCGAACCGTTCGGTACGCGACTTCTGGTTCGGCACGACCCTGTACTGAATTATTGGGCGCAGGATATTATTTTATTTTATTTTGTTTTATTTTAATTCCGTTTTTGCGAGCCGAACCATTTAAAATATCTAGTTCCCCGACGGTCATAATTGAGTGACGGACCGAGTCCCGTAAATCTCAGCTTTCACTTTGTGCAGCACATTCTTGCATTTTGACAACATGGCAGGTGAGCCTGACGAACCTGAAGACCCACCCGCAAACCTTAAGTCCTCCGTTTGGGAACACTTTGGGTTCAGGGTAAAATACGAAGATGGAAATAAACAAGTTGACAAGACAAAAGCAGTGTGCCGGCACTGCAGAACAGCGGTCGGGTATATACTTGGAAACACGTCTAACATGCTAACGCATCTAAAGCGACACCACCCGAGTTTGAACGTTAACCGGCACGACTAGAAAAAGCAATCTGGTGCAAACTACGAGATCGTCGTCGTTTAAAAAGAAAGCGTTTCCCTGACCATCGCACTAAAGAAATAATCAACGCCATTGGAGTTGAGTAAAATTGTTTAAGCTGCACTTTAGATATAAGCATGTTTTGTTTACTGCACTTTAACAAAGTGGGAAAGCTAAGTAAGTTCCTAGTAAAACTGAATCTGAGCAGGCTTTAAAGCTGACCAGCTGCACTATACTTTTTATTTTAATTGAGTAAAACTGTTAAAGCAGAAATTTATATTTATATTTTTCATTCAAAAAATGTGTTAAAAAAACAGCAGGATTTTATTTTTCACTTTTATATTTCTATTTTCATTCAAACAATGTGAAAAAGCAGGATTTTATATATATTTGCTTCATTCAAAAATTGTGTAAAAAGAGTTAACTGCTGTGGTGGTACGTTTTAATAAGGTTACCAATAAGTAAAAGATATTTGATAGTTGTCTATTTTTTTCATTACTGTACCGAAAAAAAACGAACCGTGACTTGTGTACTGAGGTATGTACTGATCCGTGATTTTTGTGTACCGTTACACCCCTAATTTTTACCCATAGTAATGTCATAGTGTCATAGTGATATTTCTACAGGCTGCCAGTGTTTCCATCAGTTATGCATTAATGAGCTCAAAGCAGAAATAGATAATCACATCACCTGTGACTTTCCAGTTGCTCTAAAGTCTAACCAAAATGAAAGGAGTCCCTCTCTCTGTTTGTCCTTCCATTTTCTCGACAACCATTCATCCCATTGACTTCCCACTTGGCAGGTGTATTGCTCAGGACCTAAAGAAATGCAGTGTAGAGAGTGAGTTCTTGAGATCTACAGGATATATTTGTTTTGGTGATTTGTTTTGGCGGTTCTGCCTGTCACAGCTCCGCACATGCCTGGGTAGCATCTGCAGGGACTCAGCTGGCAGCCATCCTCCATTGATGTTTTGCCCCTTTGTTCTCAGAACATCTCAGGATAGTAGGGCAGCAGTCAGGGATGTCTCCCTGCAGCTAGATTTAGATTGTCATGTGGTTCCACCTATGGTTTCTTAGTTCCCCTAACTCTGATTTCTTCCTCACAACCAGAGCCAAAACTTCCCTTTTTTGATTCTTCTTAGAGATCTTTTAATACTTTTTTGACTTCCGCTGACGTGAAACCAATGTCTCAGCTTGGTCAATACTTGGTTGATAGGGTCACAAAGTTACATCAGCAATAGGTTGTTGTTCTCCAGCCTGTCTCTTGGGATTCCGCCACTACCTCAGCATGCCGGAACTTTTTCCTTTCATATGTTTTATGAATGCCCCCATCCAATGTAACTGTCAGCTCAAATAACAAGACATGCTTCTAGGTTGCCGACCAACTGACAATGTCAGGTCTCAGTGTGGTGGTGGTGGTGGTGGTGGTGGAGATTTCAGTGTACACATTGTGTAGCATATTTAGAGTCACTATGATATCGCAATAACAACAACAGTTATTTCCAGATAGACAATTAGCAATCGTTTTCAGTTGTGGTGATATGTGGAATTGGCAAACTATTTCTTTTCTTTCATCATTTTCAGCCGTAACTCTAACTTGTAAAGATATATAGTTGAACATGATGGTCCCACCAAACTTAAGTTTCTGTTGTGCTCATGTTGTGCACTGTGTTGCTGATAAACTAAATCTACTGGCACAGACGCTAAACAATGCACTGCTGTGGACAGGAGCAGCAGCAAAATGTATTTAAGCAACCTAAAAAGAGTCACCAAAAAATCAATAGCGGTTCAAGTGTGCACTGTATTTAGAATATTTTTATATTTTTGTTGGGGGCAGCAGACTCCTTGGTTCTGCATAGTAAAATTACTGTTAGTCACTGGGGTCTTTATGGTCCTGAGATAATGGCTTCAGTTGCCTGTTGCAAAGTGCTGTATGACAGCAAGGTAAAACATTGAAAATACTTTTAGTGTAGCATACATCTAAAACGATACTGATGTTTTTTTTTAGGTGGCTAAAAATTAACCGATTGAGGTAGCGTGTGCTGTTTAATTTTATGCATGTGATACAAAGCTTTTCTTCCTGGAAGTTATTGTAAACAAACACTGTGATTTGGTCTGTTACCTGTTGAGCCACCGAACGGCATGATGGGTCCATCTCGCTCACCATCGCTCGCTACAGTACATTCAAGAAGAGATGATGAAAGAGAGAGTGGAGGTGTTACAGTGTAGCAAACTCAAAAATTTCAAGCGTCAGCAATGTAACTTTGATATTGAATGCATTTATCCCAGGTCGGTACCTGCTGGCAAATGACATGTATATTCTAGCATTGCAAGGGGAGGCAAACTGAGTCATGGCAGGTGTGTTGCTAAGGACTCAAAGAAGCAGTGTAGAGTGTGAAATTGTTTGGATGAGAGGTTCCCAAGAAAGCTGCAAGCGGTAAAACCAGAGGCCAAGCAATCAGCTCGTTCTGAACAGGCACATTTTGAATGGGTACTACACTAGTTATGGTAAATTGCAGAAAATATATGTTATTTTCTTGTGAGTTATGTTTATATAAAGGATTATCATTTGTCAATAAGTCACGTGATTTAGCTAAGGGATAATTTTATCTGATTGTCTGTAAATTTAAACTTTGTGTTCATTAACTTTATAAGATGTGATTAATGTGAACCTTCTTCCTCTTTTCTCTGTGTCTGTGTGTATTTTTTCATTTTCTTCTGAAGGATTGCAAAGAAAATGCTTCTTGCCCAAATAAAATCCAACTACTCTTCTGGAGCAGAGAGCTCCTCTGATAATGAAGGCGCAGGAAAGGATGAAAAGTCCTCCAAGAAAGTTAAAAAAGAGGATGAAGATGAAGAAGAGCAGCAAGGTAGAATATATGTGCTAAATATATCTAGCTGTTTACACCTAAGACTTTCATTGTGTATCGTCTCAAACTATTTGCTTCTGTCTTTGAAGATGAGGATTCAGATGACTCAAGCGGCTCTGACATTGAAGTGAAGAAGCGCAGCAGACGCCACAAATTGCTCCGTCATAAACTCTCTCTGAGTGAAGGAGAATCAGGGGAGGAGAAAACTTCTAGTAAAAAGAATAACAAGGGGGGCAAGAAGAAGAAAGGTCCTTTCTCATTTTCTATTTGCCCTGTGTGCCATGTCCAAGAATATGGCCGCAAATATATTTAATTATGATACCAGCAAGTGACTTTTGTTTCTTCTATTTGTCTGTCAGTAGACAGCGATGACTCTTCAGACTCAGATTTTGAGAAGTCAGAGACCAGTGCAGAGTCGGGGATAAGCGAGGAACTTAGTGAATCGGAGAATGAGGGGAAGCGTCGAAAGACTAGGTGAGAAGAGAACACTACATCTAATCAGTAGTAATTTATTGCTGACACTGGATCTGGGTTGATTTCCTGCTGCTCTTGCTCAGAGTGATTCTGTTTTGTGTCTGTAGATCATCGAAGAAGAAGGACGATGAGAAACAGAGAAGTTATAATCAGAAGAAGAAGCGACGCAGGATCAAAGTTCAGGATTCCTCATCCAGCAATGAGAAGGTATTTTAAAATGCAGAGCACTTGGTAGTCGTCTTGAACCGTCCCAAAGTGTTTTTTTTTTTCTGTGGCAGGATTTGCCAGGTAGAGGAGATGGACCCACATAACGTTTACTAGTCAAGTCATGCATGACACATAAAATGTTATTTGAACTTACCCCTGGAGTGTGTTGTGAGGATTATTGAGGGCACAAATTAATCATATGGTTGCTTGGCGACTGATCATAGGAAGTGAATTTTTTTCCTAAGGGCTGAAGATCAGAGGGCTGAACTTAATGTTCATTTCCACAGAGCGGAGAGGAAGGTGATGAAGACGGAGATGAAGACGGACGCAAAGGACGCAAAAAGATCCGCAAAATCCTGAAGGACGACAAGCTGCGGACAGAGACGAGAGATGCTCTGAAAGAAGAAGAGGAGAGGAGGAAACGTATAGCTGAGAGAGAGGCACTGAGGAAGAAACTGCGAGAGGTAAAAATTAAATCTTCCGCTGTTGGTCTGAAGCACAGGCTGTGTGTTCAAAGCCTTCTGCTATTACATTTCCAACACTAGGGTTGGTTAGTCTCCTCATGATACGGCATTCCAGGAGAAATTTTCAAAACCTCATTCAGTACTGCGATACAACTTGAAGATTTTTCTCAGTTTCTAGAGGAAGTAATTACTAGCTGAGCAGCGCTTTATCATGTAGATACTCAAGCAAGTGATGGACATGTGGACAAGACATAACCACTTTGAGTTCAGCAGACTGATAACAGTCCAGCCTGCTGCTGATCTCTCACTGTCTGTCAGATCAAATAGTCCACTTCACCTTAAGTAATTAAACTCCAAAAAGTGCTCATCAGAGTGTGAGAAATGGAAGGAGAGGCATTAGTTTGATTAGAGGTCATTGTCTTACACTTCGGATTGGTATGTGCATAACAGTGCTGGATTAGTTTGATGACGTTTTACATGTGTAAAAGACCAGTCATCAGTCTCATTTCGGTTTCTTCACCTTAAATCCAGAAATTTAGTCGTGTACAGCTATAAATGTATGAAATCATACTGGTAAATGGTCAGAAATGTAGCTGGCAGCGAGCTCTGCTAAGTAACAGACAGTCAAAACAATAATCCATTCAACATGTGGGCTTTACTTTGGTAAATGGTGCTGCTTTTATTTTAAAGCTTTATTTTGAAGAATAATATAATAATTCATATCTCCATGGTCCCTACCACAGTAGAGGGAAACTCTGCACGTGAAGTAGAATATTGTTGAAACACAGTGTCCTGTTAGCTGTTTATTTTTGTGTATAATGGTGCTACTAGTAGTTAGGGATGCCACAGTGAGGACATTTTTCCTCCCGTAAATATACTTGTAACAGTGACAGTGTTACTGATTACACCTGACATCTCACAAGAAAAGATATTCGTCTATGATGCTCAATATCTGAAGGGCACTGAATTAAGTTATTGCTAATGCAAACCAAACAGTTCCTACTGCTGCGGCTTTACATTAAAGCAGTGGTGTCCAAACCCTCTGAATGTGGGTCAGCTGCTTCTCACATCATATGGGTTATTAAAAAAAACAAAAACATAAAAACCAGGCAAAACATATTCACCTTTCCACCACTCTTAAAAGCAGCAGCCTTCGCTGATGACTTTTGCTTCTTTGCTGTGGCCATGTAGCTACTTAGGAGGAAATGTCTGCTGTTAGGTAACTGTCCCTTCGCTTATTTACAGATGAATAGATAGGCAGATAGATGATGCTTCCTCATGGGGAAAATCTTGTAACAACACATTAGTTCCACCTGCGTAGTTCCTTCCTTGGTCCATGTCAACAAACTGACAGTCCTGCCATCGTGAGGTGAGCAGAAAAAATGCCAAGTGAACTAGCCAATTTATGGGGCGGTAAATAGTAAATTCTGAAAGACAAGTCACAGGCCGTTTAAGATTGGCTCAGAGGCCATGATCGGCCCCTGGGCCGCACTCTGGGCATGCCTGCATTAAAGCGTTTAACTGGTGAAACATGAGTTGACTTTTATTGTGAAGTACTCATTGGTAATGTGGTGGGTTGTCAACCAGATTAGCACTACTGCTATCGTTCATCAAATAAGATTCTACAAAACAGCACCTGTTGGCAGCAGGTCAATTTGAAAAATTGCAGGGAGCAAAGGAACAAGGAGCTGTTAGATGAAGACAACGACAGCTGCATACCTCTAACTTCTTAGCGATGTTACCAACTCTTTCTTTTGTCATTAACGTTACCAGGTTCCCTGTTAGCACAAGGTTTAAATAAAAAATATTGCCAAATAGGCCTTTTTGCTTTTCACTTAAAGGTATAATATGTAGTTTTTCCACATAAAAATGTCTAAAAATGACTAAACCAATATTATATAGTTTGTTTAGTTGTGTACTTTGATTATCAGAAATGTTTTCAACAATTTTTCAAACCCAGATAAATATGAAATATTAATAAAAGTTACGGACCGTGTCATTAGGTGTCAATGGCGACGTAACTCCAGTTACCATAGCCATTAAATGAAGAAGAAGAAGAAGCAGACCGGATGAGACGTCAGAGAATGAACGTTACTGTTGCTAGGCTAATCTAACTCGTCTTGGTTCATGATTATTCATTGATGGTTTCTGCACCTTCTGACACCTAAGCTGTCCTGGTAAACAAGCCGGTAAAACGGAAACGTACGGGTCAACCAAGCGATCCCAGAAGAATTTGGGATAAGAAGAGAGCTGCCACGGCCAGTTTCGGTTTCACGGAGTGAGGAACGTCAGATCTGTATCTGTTATATGACTACAACTCCCATGATCCCACTCTACTTCCTGACGTCACCCAACTCCGTCTTCTGTTACTGTTTTGGTTTGAGACCCCTAGCGGCAGAAAATTACATATTGCACGTTTAAACGCCAAATCATCTGCCATCGTCTTGTCAGTCAACTTTTTTTTACTTTCAGTCAGAAGTGCAGTCCGACTCCTGCTACTCTGTGCTTCAACTCGGCTACTGCTGCTGTATGGAGCAGACAATTAAAGTTTGTAAGTGTTGCATTGTCGGCCTGGCTAAGTATTGATTAAAAAAGGCAAAACAACAATGGGGGTGGTGGGCAAGTTGTGTAATTGGTGTCTGCCTGAACACCGTAACATCGGTAACGCTGACTACTGTTGCAAGCCTACTAGTTGTGATATTGTAGCAGTAGCTTGCTTGCACTAATAACTCTGTCACTTAAAATACCTGAGTTAGGCTCTGGTAGTTGTGCTTTGAACAACTTAAAATTAATCTATTTAAATCTAAGTCTGCTTCCTGTTCATCAAGAGAGTTTAAATCACACAGTGTTATCACACACTTGTATAGATTTAGGATGTGATGAACTTGATGAAGCATCAGAGGTCATGAATTGTTTAATTCAGGTCTCCACCTATGGTCTCCTAGCGACCAGGAAAAAGGCGGAGGGACCACGGGATGTGGGCCACGCATGGATGCTCACTGTTTAAACACTTATCTCTTGAGCACAAATTAACCAAAATGAGGTAGTGTTTCAGTTAGCCTGAGATGGGGAATGCGTGTGCAAAAAGTGATAAAACGTGGCCTCATTTTATTTCGTTTGGCTGCCTTGACTCTGTCGTCATATGATGAAATTATGTTTGTGTGACTCCTCTATCTCTGATCCTTCTTTAGGTGATTGTGGTGGAAGAGTCTTCCCAGGTAACCTGTCCTATCACCACCAAGCTGGTGCTGGATGAAGATGAAGAGACCAAGGAGCCACTGGTACAGGTGCACAGGAACCTTGTCACAAAGCTCAAACCTCACCAGGTGGACGGTGAGTGAATTTGGTTACAGAAAAAAATCAACATGGATGAACTGCAAAAATTTTTTCCCTTTTTTATTTGCACACACGTGTATAGACAAGACAAAATATAATGAAAGGTTTGAACATTGTGCAAAATAAGTTACAAGTCAAAAATAGCTTATGGAGATACCTCCCCTATTAAATAACAATAATACAAAATTGATAGAAATACACCAGTTACATAAAAGTTTGTATTTACAAGCTGAGACGTAATACAAATGAATCCATTAAGTGTTAAGATTCTTTCTAAATGAGAGTCCTTTTCATGTGTTTTGAATAACAATAATGTGGTTGCTAATCGTAGTGATGGATGTAGGTTGTTTCAAAGAGATGGCCCTCTGTGTTTCAGTGAATATTGATTAAGAAAAGTCCGACAGTACAGAAGATAAAAGTTCTAGGAGTGTCTTGTGGAATATAAGTGAATGTCTGATAATAGCGAACCCTGCATGTGAAGCACTGAGATGCTCTGGACTGATGTCGGCCTCTGTGATTTATTTCAGGGGTGCAGTTCATGTGGGACTGCTGCTGTGAATCTGTGAGGAAGATCGAGAAGTCTGCTGGCTCCGGCTGCATCCTTGCCCACTGTATGGGTCTGGGGAAAACTCTGCAGGTATGGAGGAGAGAGCAGCATGCCTGTCTGTGGTGATAACTACATTAAAGCCATGCAATATGGAACGAAACAGTACATTAATCTTAAGCTGATGATGTGAAAAACTACAGAACTATGGGTGTGTCTCTATCCCTTTGGTACATATCTGTGTACCTGGAATTGCTTATTTAGTTTTGAATAAATGAACCAAAATTATGTTGTCTGAATTGTAAAACATTATTTTCTTAATTTTTCGTCCAAGTACTTAACACAAAATACTTTTTGTTTTCTGGCTATGTACAGACACTTGACTCATGTTGACTGCTTTTACTTGAAGAAACTGCCAGTCTTGTACAAACATCAACCCAACATTTTTTAGGTGTCACAAACCTGCAGTAGCACACATTATAACTATGAATTTCACATGTAAACTGCTGCCTTGAGCCTGTTAAACCCTGATCATTGACCTGTATGTTGTCACACTGTTAACCATGTTTTAACTGTAGTTCTGCTTTTGCCCTTTAGGTGGTGACATTACTCCACACTTTGCTCCTTTGTGAGAAGCTCGACTTCTCCACAGCGCTGGTGGTTTGTCCCCTGAACACTGTCCTTAATTGGCTCAACGAGTTTGAGAAGTGGCAAGAAGGAATGAAGGATGATGAGAGTTTAGAGGTAAGCAGTTGGTTTTGTATCCTTTAATTAAGGTCCTATTTGACAAATGTGGTGGTGTTTGTTTTGTATGTGCATAATTACATTCCTGATTTATGCCTTCCTTTTATTGATCAATGTGTATCTTGTGTTTATCAGGTGACTGAGCTGGCCACAGTAAAAAGACCCCAGGAGCGATCATACGCTCTTCAGAGATGGCATGACATGGGTGGTGTAATGATCATCGGCTACGAGATGTACCGAAACCTGACACAGGGCAGGAACATCAAGAGCAAAAAGCTCAAAGAGATCTTTCAGAGGACACTGGTAGATCCAGGTACAGTGCTGTGTAATGCGTTTGTGTTTAAACTGCCACTTAAAGCAAACAAAAATTAGAAAAACTTCCCCCTTATGTATGAGCTCTTATTAATAACATACAACTGCTGGTGCCAGTAACTGGAATTCAGTACCAGTATCCAATGGTAGCTTTTTTCGAGACCTAACTTTCTCTGTAATAACAAAAATTAAATGTTTGAACAAGCTGCAGGGGTGACGAAGTAGTCAAATACACAATTCTGCTCCTCTCCTCTTCTCTAGTCACACATAGAGCTCATCTTCTGTCTCTGTTTGTCTGCTTGTGTGCGTGTCTGTCTGTTTCTGCTCGTCTAGCAGTAAGATAAGGCTATTACTAAATTAAGATGGAAAAGAAACTCGACCAGATGCCAAACCTATTGCTGCAGATCGGCGCCGCAACAATAGTTTTGGCTTGCTGGGAAGCCAAAGGAGCACCGTTGCTGGCTTCTTGGCTAAGGGGTGCTTCCGACACCTGTCTGAAGTTGAACCTGGCAGTTCTGCTGAGCTCCATTCCTGGCTTTGGCGCTCCACGGCTGGCTTTTAGGCTTCAGGTGCTTCACGGCAATTCACCCCTTGTCTAAACCCTGTGTTCTCACTAGGGATGCACAATAATGTCAGTGGTTTGGCCTATATGACATGTACAAAATATCAGATAAATGATGCAGCACAGGTAACAAAACAACATATCTGAAAGATACACAAGTATGTATAAAGAATAGAAATGACAAAAAATAAAACAAACAAGACAAATAGACTAAATACATGTAACCCTTTCACAGTCGTTAGATAACTTTGGCAATTGTGTAAATGTCAATGAAAGGGCCATTAACCAAAGATTACTAACTTTTTGGTGAAAAAAGACTTACAATACAATACAAGATGATGATACCCCTGTGTGAAGATAAAATTCACAATCACCATAAAGTAACCAGACACCCAAAGAAGTTTGTCATTTCATTGTATTAACAAACTGTTACGAATAAAACTTACTGAACAATAAAACAATTGGGCGTACAAATGTGTTACCATTACAGTCTGTGAAAGTCTATGTAGTATGCACGCTGGAGCTCCGAGGAGTAAATCTGTGTGTTCAGAGTTTAGTAACTTACAACACCGCACCGTCCAGACTGTGGTAAATCCAGAGGCTGCTGCCTAACAAGGTCCTTCACAGAAAAAAAGTTTCAAATCCAAAGGCTGATGCCAAAAATAACAAAAAAAACTACAGTGTCCAATGATAAGTCCCGCAGTGATGTGTTGTCCTCTTTTGATGTAGCATTATTCTCTCTTGATCTGCCGACCGACGTAAACTCAACTGCTGAGTTAGCTAATGGCCAGCGAGGATTTGGGCAAGAAAGTTGCATAATTTTTCATATTATATGGATATATCAATATCAGTTATCGGCCAAATGAATTGTTGTATATCGGCATATCAGATGTCAACTAAAAATCCAATGTCACCCAGATGCACTCTTGGGTACTAAAATGTGGCACAGATGGATTTAACATGAATCAGTACTCTGTAGTACAGACGTGATTTGGTCAATACCCCACATCGAGTTTGGTAACCAACCCTCCTCCAAGATTATGTTCCTTGCTTATTGGTCCAACATACAAAATGTTTGAGGTACTAGTAGAAAAGATAAAGGACAGCTGTGAAAGTTAAATACCCTTTATTTGGGTCGTCCACCTTCAGATAGTTTGTAGAGTATTTGTAACATTTGAACAGCTTATTATTTGAGATTCAACAATTCAGCTGTTTCACTTTATTCTGTAGATGCTTAATAGATTATCTATAGAATGTATGTGGCACTTCATGAACATACCTACATGTTCTTGGAGTAATATAGTTGAACTTAATTCAGTCTACTGCACAGGATGAGTGAATAGTTCAAGTTAAACGAAATTATTCTGAGAATACATTGTAAATTGTCCATGTACTCTATAAATAAACATCCACAGAATAAAGCGAAACGGTTGTATTGTTGAAGCTCAACTAATTCGCTACTCTATAAACTATCTGTAGGTGGACTATCCAAATCAAATGTTTCGCAAAGGTCTTCAAATATTAATCACACATTCATGTTGTATTGATCAATTAAGTCTTCATTTGATGTGTTTGCATCTGCATGACTTTGACATTAGTCTTTTTGCATGCATGCATAACTGTTAAGGAGTGTGATCTGTTTAGACAGTTATCAGACACTGGCTGAAATTCTGGTATATAAGGTGATATAATCATTTAAAGCTTAAAAGTGTGTGAAAGAAGTCCAAAAGACATCACTGTTGTTACACCAGTTACTCAACTAGTTCATAATGAGGAATCATCTTTTTTTCCCAAATATGTCTCCAGCTGTACTTCCACTATGACGAGCTTTCCTTTTGTCTTCTTTGCTATCACCAGGTCCAGACCTGGTAATCTGTGATGAAGGTCACATCCTGAAGAACGAGGCCTCTGCTGTGTCCAAAGCAATGAACTCTATCAGGACAAGGAGGAGGATTGTGCTGACTGGAACGCCTCTGCAAAACAACCTTGTTGAATGTGAGACTGCCTTGGGTTTATTTTTATTTTTGATTTAATCAGTCCATCTCATTGAGATTAAGAGAACAGAAACCTTCACAAAAACACAACCAGCAAAACCGACAAAACAGGAGCAACACAACTACAAAAAAAACCAAGCAGCTATAAGAAAAGGTTACAAGAATCATGAAGCACATCAGATAATAAAGCTTTAAAAATTTAAGGAGGATATAAGACACTAGTTTGAGCGCAGTTTGCTGTTTATGCCATATAAAAGGTGCATAGTACATGAAACCTGTTCTGTCAACATTAGTGCATACTTGAAGGATATCTAAGGTCAAGTAGGTAAAGTAGATGACAGCAGACCAAGATTTGGTGTGGTTGTGGATATATCTAAAACTATCTTTGTCTTCGTACCAGACCACTGCATGGTGAACTTCATCAAGGAGAACCTTCTTGGGTCAATTAAGGAGTTCAGGAACCGCTTCATTAACCCCATTCAGAATGGTCAGTGTGCTGATTCCACATTTCAAGATGTCCGGATCATGAAGAAGAGGGCTCACATCCTCTACGAGATGCTGGCTGGCTGTGTCCAGGTAATAAAAAATAAAACTAAGTAAAAAATGTAACTCTTGTTCTCTTTGACCTCCTCAAAAGAGTCATTTCTTTCTGCTTCCCACAGAGGAAAGATTACACAGCACTCACCAAGTTCCTGCCTCCCAAACATGAGTATGTGTTGTCGGTCAGAGTGACTCCCATCCAGTGTAAACTCTACAGATACTACCTGGAGCACTTCACAGGTGAGAACCATGCTCGAGTGAACAGGAGTACAGGGTGTTGAGAATGGCAGTGCCACTTGCTTGCCCAGTTCAAACTACTCTGATCTTTCTGGGTGTTAGGAGCAGTGGAGCCTCTAGGGGCTGCTAGCAGGGCTTTTACAGTGTCAGGTCTAATTGCTCAAACGGATTTAGTCTAGTCTTAGACTGGAAGAAAATTCAATTGAGTATTCTACTGAAAAACGTATAGTCTAGGACTAGGCTAAGTCCTTCTGCTGGAGTCTTGTTTCTCTTGAAGTGCTCTCTTGACTGGATGTCTTTTACGCAGACAAGGTTTTTAGATAAATGGAAGGCCATTCTGGTCTCTCACTTTTTCATGCCGCATTGTTAAGTCGTTTAGTGGACTTTCCTCTCAGAATGTGGCCCAGGACGTGTGTGTGTGCGTGTGTGTTTTAGAGTGGCAGCTGGCAGAGTGCCGCAGGCAGGGTTTAAGCCCAGTTTCCCACGTCTCCCTAATGAAGAGCTCTGGGAGAGAGAGGGAACAGAGGGTGGGGGGTAAAAGGGGGGAATGTGGGGGCATAAAGAAAAGGGAAAGAAATTTAGCAGGAGGAGGGGCCAGAGGTTTTACACCAAAAGCGAAAACAAAGAACAGGAGAGTCGGTATGTAAGAAGAGGAGTGATGGGGGGGTTATGGTGGTATGTGCTGTGGCTCATTAGGCCAGGTTGTCCACAGGGCACAGTGCTGAAGTTGTGACTGTGGCTCTGGACCTCCGCAGTGGTGTTTTTGGACCCACACCACCAGTCAGTCTGCAAGGGGAGGTTGGGGGGTGGCCACGAATGTTTACTCTTTTTGCTGCTGCATTTGTTAAACCCAACGTAACTTCTGACCTCCCTGGGTCAATGCAGGCCAAAACATAGAGCAGTCACAACATTAACATTTCAGCAGCTGCCACTCACTACGTTCATAAATCTGCCAATTTAATAGATTACACAAGACAACTTAAAGCTCTGAATATGTATCTGACCCTCTGTGGTATTTGCTTGGTATGTTAAAGGCCTGATCTCCCAACTTGACTTTGCCTCTCTGTTTTGCACATTCACATTGAGGGGTAAGGCATTCAAATTCTTGCTGGAACAGAGGGGTAGGTTTAAGTGTCAGGGCTACATGGCCCTCCAAAAAGAGGTTTTTCAGAGGCACACTTCACATTGAATGTCATGAGAAATCATTAGTAAGTTACAAGCCTAACAAAGGATATCACTAGTATGATGATGTCTCGGTAGCCAAGCTAACTAGCTTTCAAATAACTCCAGCTGCAAAGTTGCTGCACTGGTTACTGGTCTTTTAATATCAGTGCAGTGTTGAGCACAGGTCGCTACGGTTAGCTTACAGAGCACCGCCGGTGGCCTGGTAATGAAACAGTGTTCTTTTATATTTGATGATTTGTTAGATGGATTGATAGCATGAAACTTAAGTTGTGAACAAATTGCTAGCATCCTGACAACCACAAAAGGCTGAATATAGCCCACGCTAAACAAATTCCTGCAACAGAAGAAGGCATTTTCACAATGTCTGGCAACAGTCTGTTTATGTAAACACCAGCATCAACGTCTATCAATGACTTATCAGGGTCTTCAAGGGTTGTCCCATTTCATAGGGGAAAAATTTAACCTCCTAATCCTCGTAACTCTGTTCTGAGGGGCAAGGTTGCACCCAAAAATGAGGGGTAGGGGTAAGAATAAGAAATGGGATTGGGCCCAAGTTTTGTTGCACTTCATTTTCCACACAAGTCATTATGTATGAAGAGATTGAGGGCACGTTGTCAAGCTCATAATGCAAACACACATCCATCTTCCTCCTCACACTCTTTCCCTTGTGTGCAGGTGTGGGGAATGCTATGGAGGGGGGCCGGGGCCGCGCAGGGACCAAACTCTTCCAGGATTTCCAGATGCTCAGCAGAATCTGGACCCATCCCTGGTGCCTTCAGCTGGACTACATCAGCAAAGAAAACAGGGTAGGGCTGGGGAAGACAAGACTAAACCACACTAAACACTAACTCAAAAACTGGGAATACATTAGCGCAAATCACACACACTGCGGGAAAACAATAGAAACATAGTGCTGACAGGTCATGCACCGGAGGAGAACAACACACATGTTGCCACTGTGGCAAAAATTTTCCCTTATGCATCATTTCTGCTACCCACAATCCAGCTCTCAGTGTTTGGTTGACCTATATCATCGCACAGACTCACGCGAGCGCACTCTCTTGCAGGGTTTCTTTGATGAGGACAGCATGGACGAGTTCATCGCTTCAGAAACAGAAGAATCCTCCATGAGTATGACCTCTGAGGATGAGAGGGCGAAAAAGTAAAATAAGATTTCAAGTCCATTTTCCCTTGTTATAGATTCATACAGAGATCGTTTAACTGCCCCTCTCTCTTGCATCTGTTATTCTCGCTGACCCCGTCTCGTCCATCATTCCTCCTTCCTAATAGGAAAAAGAAGCAAGGGAAGGGAAAAAAGAGAGGATCTGATGACTCGGACAGTGACGATGTGGAGGTCATCAAGGAGTGGAACACCAGCTCTCGGGGCAGAAATGGAGAGGGTCGGAACAGACCAGAGCCTGTAGAAGAACGTAAGTTTGTTATACATATGGGAGCATTATGAGTAGTTGGCTTAGTATTAGAGAGACCAGAACGGCATGTACAGGAATATCTGGGTTGTTTTGCCTTTGTTCAGAATGATTACTCTTAAACACATACGCCATTGGTGTCACCCATATCTTTTTAGAAAAACATTAAATGGTTTTTCAAAAGTTGCTTTAGAGGTCGGTTTATTATAGACATGACATTGTTGCTTTGGCAGCTTACATCTGCACACACTGCAGCTGCTCTGTTTATGAAGCTTGATGTCTTTGTTACTGCTTCTTGTTGTGAGACTCTACAGTCTGCCAGAAGACTAATCAGTAACTTTTCGTGTGACATACAGCTCGGGCCGCCAGCTCAGCACCAGGGAGTCCCAGTGCTGACTGGTACAAGGAGTTTGTCACTGAGGCTGACGCTGAGGTCCTGGAGCACTCTGGAAAAATGGTTCTCCTCTTTGAGATCCTGCGCATGGCAGAGGAAGTAGATGAAAAAGTGTAAGTGTGCCTGCAGTCTGTGTGCAAATAAAATCTTTATCTGTTGTGCCGTGTGACTGGAAAGTTTGTGTTAATCACAGAATGACATGTAGCTGTGGTGAAATGACCCTGGTGTATCTTCTATCCTCATTCATCCTCAGGTTGGTGTTCAGTCAGTCTCTCATCTCTCTTGATCTGATCGAGGATTTCCTGGAGTTGTCCTGCAGAGCTAAAGATGAAGAAAAAATCTCACCATACAAAGGTAGATTTCTTTAGTGCAGTCTTACAGGGCCTCTCATCCAAGAAATTCTCACTGTACTAAGTCGACATGCCTGTCAATGGGTTAACCTAACCACTAGTGCTGTACCCAAATATTCAGATATTCGTTTCTATGGGTAGGTATTCGTTATGAAAATTTGGTATTCGATATTCGTTTTTTTATTTACTTATTTTTTTATTATTGTTATTATTATTATTATTATTATTATTATTATTATTATTATTTTTATTTATTTATTTATTTTTACATATTTTTTTGGTGCTAAATGTAGTCTTTTTGTTGTTGTAAATGTAGGTTATCAATAAAAATCAAAACTTTTAAATTGCATTGTTAAAAATGTGAAAATATTGTATCGCCTACCAACGGAGCTTGTGCGCACGGCAGGCTTGAGCGCATCTGTCTGAGGCTGTGGATCAATGCCAAGTTTTACCACTTTATCACTATTCCCTCTAACTTGTAGCTTTTTTTTTGTTATCTTTTGAATTTAATATGAATTATGGAACCGTTTTTGTCATTTTTTGTTTCCCCCGTTTTGTACAATAAATTATTGTTTAAAGTTTCAACAAGTTTCTTTTGGAGCGCGTGACACAAGTGTGTTTTGAAAACGTCCGCGGACTGTCACCTGCTCAAC